TGCCACCCGAAGGTGGCGTCAGGCTCTGTCCCGAGGCTCCCCGGAGGCCTGTGATGGGGACTTGGAGACAGCCCTCGCTGCGCGCCCAGGCTCCCGGGCAGTTGCACAACCCCCCCCAATTATGCTCCGTGCAGAGTGTGGCAACCGGGCGAGAATTCCAGGACTTTGTACCTACTCGTACCAATCTGCCTTCCTGCTGTTTAGCTGCAGGGCCAGGCGTGGCTCTGTGGGCCCCGGGAAATGGGGGTGTGTCCGCGTCCAGGAGGGCGTGGCCCGCGTCAGGCCCGGGAGCAGCAGCCCGGCCCTGCCGGTGCAATCGGCTCGCCCCAAACCGCAGCTTCCTCGGGGGCCCTGAACCAAGTCCAGAACACAGAAAAGGAAGCTCTGGTGACATTCTAGACACGGGCTTCGAGCAGCAGGCCTGGCCCAGCTACCGCTGGTGGCGCACCTCGGGCCTGGTCCAGCCAGGGATGCGCGGCCTGGGTTCTCCCGCGGGCAGGGCGGGCGTCCTCCCGGGCCCTAGCGTGGCTTGGGCGTCCCCGCCCCTCCCAGGCTCTGCTTTTTAAGCCTTTGGCCTGGTTTGTGATTTCTATGTTAAGAAGGATCCTAGGAAGAGGCCCTAATGACCTAGCTCTTATTCCAGGGCCATGGCTCTGGGTCCAGGAACAGCATTGTCCTGTGGGGCCTGGGCTCTGTCGGGACTGGCTGTTCTGTGTAATGGAAAAAAAGACAAAATCCCAAATGCAGCTGACCCCTAACCCCTCTCCTTTGTGTGTCCCCGGGAGTGTGCCTGCCTCTTTCTCTGGGTCTCTCATTAGAATTTCAGAGAAGCTTCCTTTGCTATGGAGACGCTAGTCTTGAGGCCTGAGAGGTGGTTCTGTCTACATGCAGATCAATGCATTTGGGGTAATCCATGTTCCGTGTCATGACGAAGTGGAAAACTGCAATGTGGTCTCTCTTCCTGATAAATTTACAGCGCCTCAAGTACACAATTGAAAGTAAACACTTCCTGGCTGGGCACAATGGCTCACACCTGTAATCCCAGCACTTTGGGAGGCCAAGGTGGGAGGATCACTTGAGGCCAGGAGTTCAAGACCAGCCCGGCCAACATGGTAAAACCCTGCCTCTACTAAAAATACAGTAATTAGCTGGGCATGGTGGTGCACACCTGTAATCCCAGCTACTCAGGAGACTGAGGCACAAGAATCGCTTGAAGCCAGGAGGTAGAGGTTGCAGTAAGCCAAGATTGCACCATTGCACTCCAGCCTGGGCAACAGAGTGAGACCCTGTCTCACGGAAAAAAAAAAAAAAAGGAGAAGAAAAAAAGTAAACAATTCCTGTGCATATAAACAAATGTCTGCTCGTAGCCTTGTGAGCTATCTTGCCCTCCCAAGCACCTGCAGTGCTTGGCACATGCTGGCCACCAATAAATGGTGCTCTTGGGTGGTTGGGAAGATAAGGATCTTTGCAGGGCAGCAGGGACCCTTTGATAATCAACATCCAAAGCCTCAATAGATACATCAGCACCCCTTTCCAAAGCATGACTTTTCCTCAAAAAGCAAAAACTCTACTCAACATATCCTTCCACTGGGGGGTGGAGATAAAAACACAGAAGGTTCTCTTTCCCTGTGGGTAAACAGTTACCAACAGGCAGTCGTGCCTGGATGCACAACCTCAGGGGTGGGCCCATCCCCAGGAACGAGCCCCCAACTCTGCCTGCAGCTTCTAGGTCTGTGGAGCTGACCGTGGGCCCGGCAGGGCTCTGCTTGTCTAGCTTTGGGGCTTGCGGAAAGAGAGCTCCTGAACCAGATCCAGGGATTAGCCTGGGATGCGGCAGGGTAGGCTTCTCTGGGGCTGGGGTTTCCCTGCCACTGAAAGCTCACAGAGAAATGTCCCTGGGCTAACAGAAGCCATGTCTGCGAGAACTCACTGGTTGTGAGATCCGGAAAGAGCAGGGACACGCTCTTCTTTTCTGACCTTCAACCTTCCCTGGGGTTGTGTTCCATTTGGGTCACCTTAGAAAACTCTGGTGCTTCTAAGAGAACATCAGCGCTAGTCTTGGTGCTGGCAGGAAGCTGTCCTTAGCTGTCACCAACACTTTTTTCTGGCCAACATGGTAAAACCCTGCCTCTACTAAAAATAGAGGAATTAGCTGGGCGTGGTGGTGCACACCTGTAATCCCAGCTACTCAGTAGCTGGGATTACAGCTACTGTAATCTTGGTCCACAAAGCATCACCTTACCTCAACCGGTCCTCCAGAGAACATCGGGGCTGCCTAGAATGTGGTGACAGGAGTAAACTCTTTTTTTTTTTTTTGAGACGGAGTCTCGCTTTGTCACCCAGGCTGGAGTGCAGTGGCGCGATCTCGGCTCACTGCAAGCTCCACCTCCTGGGTTCACGCCATTCTCCTGCCTCAGCCTCCGAGTAGCTGGGACTACAGGCGCCCGCCACCACGCCCAGCTAATTTTTTGTATTTTTAGTAGAGACAGGGTTTCACCGTGTTAGCCAGGATGGTCTCGATCTCCTGACCTTGTGATCCGCCCGCCTCGGCCTCCCAAAGTGCTGGGATTACAGGCGTGAGGCACCACGCCCGGCGTGACAGGAGTGAACTCTTAATGGAAAGGGGTTCTGGAGGGAATGTTTCAGTGCCTCTCTGCCCTAGTTAGTGAATTTAGCAGTTTAACCTAAATACCGTTGTTTCTGGATAGACTTCCTCCAAGCAGGTGCCCTAGACCATCTTTTGTCTCGGGCTTTATGTTGGACATTAGAGCTTTATCTTTGTGATGACTTTGTAGGTTTCTCTGGATACTGACAAGAAAGTTCATTTGATCTAATGAGAAATCTCTCACTAATAAAGGCAGGAGCTGCTTTTGACACATATGCATTAACATCATCCTTCTATTCTTACCATTTTTTCCCCCTGTTTTTTGAGAAGGAGTCTCACTCTGTCACCCAGGCTGGAGTGCAGTGGTGAGATCTCGGCTCACTGCAACCTCCGCCTCCCAGGTTCAAGCAATTCTCCTGCCTCAGGCTCCCAAGTAGCTGGAACTACAGGTGCGCACCACCATGCCTGGCTAATTTTTCCATTTTTAGTAGAGACGAGGTTTCACCATGTTGGCCTGGCTGGTCTCGAACTCCTGACCTAAAATGATCCACCCACCTCGGCCTCCCAAAGTGCTGGGATTACAGGTGTGTGCCACCGCCCTGACCCTATTCTTACCATTTGTTCTAAGCATATCCATTTGTAGATAATTTTAAAATTTGTGGCAGTTAACGATGTGGGTTTTTACCTTATACAGTGACCCAGACTCTTCAGTGCAGGTAACTCCACATCAAATCTCCCATCAGAGATAAGATGGCTGCCAGCCGCTGATCTCCAGGTGAGGGCAAGCCTTCTTTCTACAATGAGTCTTCTCCTTTGGGCGGGGTTGGGGTGAGCAAAGAGAGCCACCCACATTCTCGTCACACATGTGACAAGACCAATATTACCTGACTGACTTGCGCCTCGTGGCTAAACACATTTGCCAACCCCCCTTGAGATGTCCATCAAACTGTGACATCCTACTTCCTACAACAGCTACATCAGCCCAGAGGCAAGACTCCATCCAGGCCAGCGGCCGCCTTCTCTGGCCATCAGTTGTCCCTCTAGCTCTGTCGAGACCTCCCTATTGTTTTGAACTGAGGCAGTTTTCCTGCCTCCAACTGAATATCCCCTGGCAGTTCCCATTTTTGTATTTTCCACCTGGTCATCTACTTAGGAGAAACAGTATCTTCCAGGGCCAATGCAGCCATTTTCCTGTCTCTGGAGAATCAGGAGGGAAGGCAGGGCTGAGATGGGATGGGGCTATCTTGGCAGACAGCATTCCCCCAAGAACGTGGGTTGGCCTCCAGGGAGGGGAAGAGAGCAGGCTCTGATGGGCTTAGTCAAGTTAAATATTCTCTTGGTCAGTGGCTTAATGGATACAGTTTCCCCATTTCTCACATCTGTGCTTTCCCTTTTTTTTTTTTTTTTTTTTTAGATGAAGCCTCGCTCTGTCACCAGGCTAGAGTACAGTGGTGAGATCTCGGCTCACTGCAATCTATGCCTCCCGGATTCAAGCGATTCTCGTGTCTCAGCCTCCCAAGTAGCTGGGACTACAGGCACATGCCACCATGTCTGGCTAATTTTTTTTTTTTTTTCTGTAATTTTAGTAGAGACGGGGTTTCACCATGTTGGCCAAAGCTGGTCTTGAACTCATGACCTCAGGGGATCCACTCACCTCGGCCTCCCAAAGAGCTGGGATTACAGGCATGAGCCACCACACTCGGCTGTGCTTTCTCTTTTTAATTTTATTTTGAGACAGGGGCTTGCTCTGTTGCCTAGGCTGGAGTGCAGTGATGCGAACATGGCTCACCGCAGCCTCAACCTCCTGGACTCAAGTGATCCTCCCACCTCAGTCTCCTGAGTAGCTGGGACTATAGGCACAGGACACCATGCCTGGTTCATTTTTAAATTCTTTTGTAGAGATGGGGTCTCACCAAATTGCCCAGGCTTGTTTTGAACTCCTGTGCTCGAGCAATTCTCCCGCCTCGGCCTCCCAAAGTGTTGGGATTACAGGCATGAGTCACTGTGACCCGCTCACTTTCCTTTTTTCAAATGTGTTAGTGGTTTGGTTCACAGATATATACATAAGCAAAACCAACATAGTGCAACACGCTCATCACAGCCTGAACACTTGAGTCCAGGCTTGGGGGTCTGGAGAGGTGAAGGGAGGCCATGCCTGTATCACCTTCCCCACCAGATCTGCCAACAGCATATGCACCGAGCACATAGAGACCACACTGCTGCTCTCTGGTCGGTCCTCAAATCAGGAAGCTTTGGGATTTGGGACTTGGGATGTTAAGGTCCTATTCAGTAGCCACAACCAGGTCCCAAGTGTGGGGAGTGGTGGTTCCCGAGGACTCATGCCGGAGTACCTGATTGTGGCTGCTTCTGTGAATTACAAACCAAGGGCTAGAGCTGTAATTTATAAAATATCCTTTATTTATTCTAAGGAACAGTCAAGCAGTAGCTTAAAAAAAAAAAAAAAAGACACATTTTTTGAAAGATATTATTAGTGTTGTGACCTGGCATTGGGCCCCCAGTGAGTGGGACAGTGGCTGGGGCCACCTGCTGTGGCTTTGCGAGTTCTCTGTACTCACTGGCAGGGGTTTGGTGGGAAACTGGGAAGCTTTGGCACGGTTCTGTCCAGTTGCTTATAATCAAGAATAATGAGTTTTGAGGTTTACAAAGAGCAGAAGTAACATTTATACTGCTGGCATTTGACAAAAGATTGCTTATAATATACTCATTCCAGGAAGTGTAAAAATGCTTTAAAGGAATGATAATTTGTACTTACTGTTTATGGGGACTAGATATATTAGAATTATAGCATCATTATGGGAACATAGTATTTCTCTATAAATTCAGAAATTCTCTGGTTGATGTAAAATCATACTTCCTGGTTTTACTTAGTTAGTAAAGAAATAAATAAATTAGAGTAACATTTAGTCAGGTAGTTACTCCTTTTTCCCCTTCTTTATTAATAAATTTTATTTTTAGCACAATGATTTACCCAAAAAGAGAGTTTGAGAATGTTCGAGAATCTCTACCACTTGGTAACCATGCTGGCTGTTATATCAGAAAAATCCATAAACACACACAGCAGCGAGCTGTTTTCACAAGACTTCCTTGCTAATAAACACAACACTTTCTCCTCCACTCAGATGGGAGCCTCAGATGCCAAAACGCAGATGTGCCAACTATAGGCTCGTTGCTAAGCAAAGAAACCTATCAAGTTTGTCCAGCAAATTCGATCGTACAATGGAATGGCGTCTGCTCTGCGGCCTTGGACAGGGAGCGGCTGGTCTGTGCGGCCGTCCCCTGAGGCAAGTCGAAGCTGGTGGCCCTTAGGGGGCAGGTAAAATGGTTCTCATGGGTTAGAACATAAGGGCTTTGAGAAAAAAATGCAAAAAAGTCTCATTAAAATTGGAGGCCTATGTGAATCTGTTTACATAGAGGCATACTGAGATCTCATTCTGTGCTCAGGTGAACTGCAGGTCTCACGCTGGCAGCACGACTCGGCCCCCCCCAGCTGGCCTGAGCCACCGCCTGCCACCTCCTCATACCATTACGTGGGGGTCTAAAGAGGACATCATCCCCAACCAAGGAACAGTGCGAGAGAAAATCCCAAACATTTAAGACAGGGTTCAAAAGCACCCAGACGCCTTCTGTCTCTTTCCCAGTTCCCATCTGGCTAGGGGCTGTGAATCAGGATTCAGAATCTGTGCTGCCCGGAGGGGACAGGCACCCAAATGCAATAAATAACACCAAGCTCAAGACCCAGCGACTGACCTTCCCCCACCACCGCTGCGGGTTATTCCTCGATGTGAACTGAAGATCCATGGGAGGAATCCATTCCGCCCCCAAACCTCCCTGCACAACATCGAATGCGGGAGTCCGGCTGCTTCTTCTGCACAGGACAGAGCCTCCAGTCTTTTGCTTGAGAGCATCATTTATGGCATGGACTGGGAACGCAATGTGTTCACACAAACGCACGACAATTGTACATCAGCATCTTTACAATATTAAAGGAGCCATATACAAGTCTACAGCCATTGTACACAGGATGGTGATGGCTGGGGAGCCCCGCCCACCAGTCCTCTGTGGTTTCTCCACTGGAGAACACTCCGGGAGCTGTCACAAGGCCGGGGGGGGCAGTGTCCATCTTTGGGCCTGTCGTGGTGGGGGCAGCAGGGCTGCAAGGACTCCTCAGGGCCAGTCCTCACTGGAATCGGGGTTCAAGAGCGCCAGGTCTGCCTGTGTCCAGGTCTCATCGGCAGGCTAGTGTAACAAGTTTAATTAAAACTCTGTGCATATTCGCATGAGAAAACTGGAGCTGGGGATGGCTCCCTGAGCTGGGGACCTAGAAGACGCTGCTGACAGATGGGCCCCTTTGTGGTGGGGCCCATTCCTGAGGTAAGGTGCAGCCCTGAGCCTGGTCCGAATGGGAGGAGACTTCTCCAGCAGCCCAGGTGCTGGTCCACACAGACAGAACCAGAAGCCCCCGGGCAGTAGGAGGTCAGGTGACCTGGGGAGTGCAGCCTGAGCCCCCAACGGCAGCAAAGGTGAAGGTCTCAGGTGGTTACAGAGTCACTCAGCCCTCAGGCCCCCACCACTCTCCTCCCAGCAGCCCTGCAGCACACATCCCTGCATCTGTCCCGAGAGCCCCAGCCCTGCAGGCATCTGGGCCTGAATGCCAGGCAGCTGGTCCACCCTGTGGCCATGCTGCACGTCCGACTGAGAACTGAGCACCAGATAAAGAAGCGTTGGTCCTTGTCAGCCTCTCTGACTTTTGCAGTTAGGGTTGCATCCATTTTAAATACTGTAGAAAAATAAGCCATCTCGGACGCTAGGAGACCCGCCAGAGTCTGCCCTGCGTGGAGAGGGATAAACAGCTCCTCTGAAGTAGCTGCAGACGACTCTTCCAAACCCACCCCAGCAGGCCCTGGGGCCTCAGAGGATGCTGCGCCAGGCTGGGAAGCTGAGGGGCTGGGAGAGCTGGCAGCCGAGTTCCCACTGCTGCATCTTTGGGTCACATCAACAGTCCTTCTGCAGGCATGCCTCCAGCATCCTACATTCTGTTGCCATGACACCTGGGGCCCTGGTGCTTGCTGGGCCAGCTTTGGACCCTCTAGCCTCACCCTCAGTCTCATGCCCATGGCCAAGCATACACAGGCAGAACTCCCCAGCACTGTTTCCAGGTTCCTGGGGGGGCCCAGGTAGGCACTGAAGCAGGGCCTAGTCCAGGGGTTCCTGCTTGATCCGAACAGCAGTGGGGGCGGGCTGCGGCCGCCGCTCTTCCCGGCAAAGCACGTACTCGCTGAACTGGGAGGAGTCCACGCCGCCCCCACAGGACGCGGCCACACTGAAACCCCTCTGGAACAGCCGCTCCAGGACCTGCCCAGGAAGAAACAGAGGTCATCAAGGCCAAGCTGCAAGAGGACACCTGGCTTGGCCTGGCAGGCAGGTGGGTGCCTGCTGGAGCAGCCAGCCAGAGCACCTTCTATGATGGTATCAGTCTCGCTCACCGACAAAGGTCCCTACAGAAACACGTGCTGGGTTCCACCATCAGAGGGACAGAAGTTGCCAGGCCCAGTGACCCCTCAGGTTACCAAACCCAGTTGGATGACCTCACCCAGGTCACCATTCTGCTGCCCTCAGGGCCTTGATTCCAGGAGGCAAAAAGAGCCTTTGGGTCCCTTCTTTCTTCTGTAGGGTGTAACCTGTGCCCTTTCTCCAGACACATGGCCCCAAGCATCCTGCCTAACTGAGTCCTGCCCCAATAATGGAGAGTTCCCTGTCCTTCAGCCTCTAGGCATCCAGCGGCTTCCCTGAGCTGTGCATTCCAGGTAGTTTGAGGCCTGGGGGCACATCAGCTAGTGGGAGCTCTGGAGGGAGAGAAAAAGGAGAAGTTTTCTCAATATTTGAGTCTCTGCAGGCATCCACAACTATGTGGGTTTGTGTCTCTGTGAGGGTGAGGTCTGATGACTGTGTGTAACACCTGTCTCCTGCAACTAGCAAGTTCTGACCAACAGGCTGTGGAATGCATGCGTGGGGGGACCTCTTCCCTGCAAAGCCCATTCTACCCTAAACCGGAAATGTGCCAAGCTCTTGGGTCTGCGAAGAGCTGTTGGAAAATAGGCCCTCACTCCATCTGAGCTGTCCAATTCTTGGACCCATCCAGGAAGAGCCGGTCCAGGGATTCTCTTGGCAGCTGGTGGGTGCCTGCGGCTCCCAGGTCAGCAGGCAGAGGGAAGGGGCTCCAGGCCACCTTTCCATTCAGCCTCTGTCCTGCCTCGCCTGTTGCCTGGGTTTAATTCGAATCCAAAGTCAGAATGTGGGTGTCAAATGAAGCACACTTTGTTGAAAATACTCTGGGCCATTTTTATAGAACATCCTTTTGGAGGAAAAAAAAAAAAAGTTCAGATCGATTTTTTTAAGTCCATCCCCCAGGCACCATCATTTAATTATGAGAGGGACATAAATTATGCATCCACACATTGTTGCCTTTTTTGTAGGATGGCACGGAGGGCTTCACCATTTCAGGGATCGCGCCTCCCTCCAGCTCACTCTGCCCCTGGAGGGCTCCGCGGATACCGGGGGTGCGGCGGGGAGGGGGCAGCGCGCAGCCCTCACCTGTACCGAGTTGAGCCGGCAGTAGCCGTTGAGCGGGAAGCGGATGACGTGCGTGGGGTCCTGGTTCCAGCCGGCGTTGACGGAGTTGCACATGACGTCTCCGGTCTCAGGGAAGACCTCCTCGATAAGGGCCTTCTCGCCGCTGAGTGCGATCCGCTCGCCCAAGTCGGGCGTGACGCGCACCACCAGGCAGTCACAGGCCCGGCTGCGGCGTCGCTGCTCCTGCTCCTGCTGCCAGCGCTCCAGCTCGCGCACCATGGGCTGGAGCTGATAGTAGCGCGCCTCCTCGTACAGCAGGCTGAAGTCCTGGGGACAGGCGCACAGGGTGTTGATGTAGGTGTCGGGGTAGGGGTGGGTAGGGGGAGCGGGGGAAGGGGGAGGTGGGAGGCGGCCTGCCGGTTCCAACCAATTCTGCAGGAACTGCGACTCCCAGGGCATCGTGTGGACTGGGCCGGTTGCACCCATTGTACAGATGGGGCAACTGAGTGTTTGCAAGTATAAGGAACCTAGCCTTGTCCCAAGGGCAGCCGCTGATGTGCACCTGTGCCAGCCCCCCTGAACTCTTCCATCTGGCCCCAGGGACTGGGCAGTGAAGCCTCCCCATGGAAAGACCGAAGCTCCACTAAAGGAGGAGGCTGTGCCTATGCCTGGGGACCTGCTGCTGCCTTAGAATCCCACCGAGAGAAGAGATCATGCTGGGCACAAGGCAGCCGGCCTGTGCCCATCCTGGAGAAGCTCACAACCCACCTGGAAGCAAAAACAGTTCTTCTCCAGCCAGGCCTGCCTGGGTCAGATTTTCACCTTTATCATCAACCAGCCCTGAGACCTCTAAACCTCTATACCTCACTCACTGAACGTCTCAGTTCCTTTTTTTTTTTTTTTTAAAAGACGGACTCTCTCTGTCACCCAGGCTAGAGTGCAGTGGCTCGATCTTGGCTCAAAGCAAACTCCACGATTCTCATGCCTCAGCCTCCCAAGTAGCTGGGACCTACGGGCGCCTGCCACCACACCCAGCTAACTTTTATATTTAGTAGAGACGGGGTTTTTCCATGCTGGCCAGGCTGGTCTTGAATTCCTGCCCTCATGTGATCCACCCGCCTCGGCCTCCCAAAGTGCTGGGATTACAGGTGTGAGCCACTGCACCTGGCCTCAGTTCCCTTATGTATAAAATGGATATAAACAACCAGTTCAGGGAATTAAAGTGAGGATCAAAGGATGCAAGATGTGTCAAGTGCCTGGTCCAGCCCCTGCCCAAACAAGCAGAGTGTGATAAAGTGTCCAGGGAGGGGAAGCCTGCCCCCTGCCAGGCAGCCCCCTTCTGGGCGGAGCAGGCTCACACAGACCGTCCCTCAGGCACTGATAGTGGCCCCATGCCCCGGGTCACATATGCACACCATACACGCTCACCCATACCCACCCCACCAGGAGTGGCCAAGGTCCCATAGGTCCCATGACTCATGCCTGAGGAAGAGGCAAGGAAGCCCAGCCCCCTGACCTACAGGCCCTAAGTCCCTTCCACCTGCTGGTCCTGGCTTTTGGAACTGCCTCCAGGGAGGCCTAGATTCTAACCCTGACCCCTGAGCCTCTCATTGGTCAGTGGCCCCTCCTGCCTCTTCTGCCCCATGCAAGGGTTCCTCAGGGCTCTATCCTGGGCCTCTGCTCTCTCCACTCTCACTTGCTCCTGAGATTTTTATTTTATTTGTTAAGACAGGGTCTCATTCTGTAGCCCAGACTGTAGTGCAGTGATGTGATCATAGCTCTCTGCAGCCTTGAACTTCCAGGCTCAAAGGATCCTCCTGTCTCAGCCACCCAAGCAGCTGAGACTACAGGCATGAGCCATCATGCCAGAATAATAATAATAATTATTATTATTTGTAGACACAAGGTCCAGGCTGGTCTGGAATTCCTGGGATCAAATGATCCTCCTGCCTTGGCCTCCCAAAGCACTGGGATTACAGGTGTGAGCTACCTCTCCTGGCCATTCTCCTGAGATTTTAAATGATAACTGCATACCAGACAATCCCATCTTTTGTCATGGCCCAGAATTTCTCCATCTGATGCCCCACCAGCTTGCCCATGCAGGGGCAGAAACCCCACTCCCACAGCCTGGTCCACCCCGGGTCTCGACTTGCCAACTCAGAATTCAAGCCACAAGCCCCGGGGCACCCGCAAGAGGCCCTTTACACTGCCACAACCACATGCTTTTGCTTGCTTGCTTATTTATTTATTTACTTACTTACAGAATTTCGGAATTTCGCTCTGTTGCCCAGGCTGGAGTGCAGTGGTGCTTACTTACTTACTCACTCACTTACTTACTTACTTAATTTCGCTCTGTCGCCCAGGCTGGAGTGCAGTGGTGCGATCTTGGCTCACTGTAACCTCCGCCTCCTGGGTTCAAGCAATTCTGTCTCAGTCTCCTAAGTAGCTGGGACTACAGGTGCCCACCACTATGCTCAGCTCATTTTTGTATTTTTAGTAGAGATGGGGTTTCACCATATTGGTCAGGCTGGTTTCAAACTCCTGACCTCAGGTGATCCACCTACCTCGGCCTCCCAAAGTGCTAGGATTACAGGTGTAAGCCACTGCGCCTGGCCTTTTTGAATTAAAAAAAAAATTTTTGTATAGACAGGGTCTCGCTATGTTGCCCAGGCTGGTCTTGAACTCCAGGCCTCAAAGGATCCTCCCCACTCGGCCTCTCAAAGTGCTGGGATGACCGTAGTGAACCACTGTGCCTGTGCTAAACAGAAGTCTGATGTGCCACCTTGCGCCATCTTCTCTATCTCCATCCCGGTCCATCCAAAGCCTCCACCCAGCCTCCCTTGGCCTGGGGAAGGGGCCTCATCCATAATTGCCTCACTGCACCCACCCCCACCCCTCCCTGCCTCCTTCCCCACACAACAGTCAGAGAGATCTTCCCAATTTGCAGACTTAACTGCCCTTCCCTTGCACACACCCCTTCCACTGCATTCAGAGTTAAATGCCAGGCACTGGGCCACCCGCCAAGGTCCTGACATCAAACAGCAGCCTCCTTTCCTGCCCTTCCCCTTCCAGGCCATAAGGCTCCAGGCTTGATACCTTCTTTCCAGTTCTGGAATGCATCAAGCCATCTGCCACCCCCATCCCCTGCACCAAGGCCGTCACACCTGTTTGGCCCCGTTCTGCCTTTACCACCCAGATGAACTTTGTGTCTTTCAAACCCACCTAGCCCAGGTCACATGGAATTCAAGTTCAGTATCTGTCTGCCTCCTAGACTGTAAGTGTTGTGGGGCAGGGCCTAATGTGTGTGTTTCACTGTTTTCAGCCTGAATTCAGTGGCTGGCACCCAGTAACTGCGTTGGATGAAAGACAAGGCCCCAGGGCTACTGGTCCTTTGAATAGAGGATGGAATGAAGGAAGGAAGGACAGATATTTGCTAGTATTAGTATATGCCAGTGTACCCTAGGTCTGAGTTTCCTTCCTCCCAGGGTCCCTGACACGTGAGAGGGGCTCACCACTGAGGCAGGACCCAGGGAACCAGGTCACCTGCCCTGACGGGCTCACCCTGAGACCTGGAGGTTACCTTGTTTAAAGGGTATCTGTTTCGGTCATCAGGGCTTTTCTCCCTGCAAATTGCCCAACACGGAACAGACTTTTTTTTTTTTTTTTTTTGAGAGAGAGTCTTGCTCTGTCATCCAGGCTGGAGTGCAGTGATGTGATCTCGGCTCACTGCAACCTCTGCCTCCACCTCCTGGGTTCAAAAGATTCTCCTGCCTCAGCCTCCCAAGTAGCTGGTATTACAGGCGCCTGCCACCACACCTGGCTAATTTTCGTATTTTTTTAATACTTTATTTTTCAAAGTCTAATTACAGCTATCCTTTTATTTTTTTTCTTTTCTTTTCCTCTTTTTTTTTTTTTTTTTTTTTTTTTGCGATGGAGTCTTGCTCTGTCGTCCAGACTAGAGTACTTGGCCCACTGCAACCTCTGCCTCCTGGGTTCAAGTGATTCTCCTGCCTCAGCCTTCCGAGTAGCTGGGATTACAGGCCTGCCACCACGCCTGGCTAATTTTTGTATTTTTAGTAGAGACAGGGTTTCACCATCTTGGCCAGGCTGGTCTCAAACTCCTGACCTCATGATCCACCCGCGTTGGCCTCCCAAAGTGCTGGGATTACAGGCGTGAGCCACCATGCCCGGCCTAATTTTTGTATTTTTAGTAGAGATGGGGTTTCACCAAGTTGGCCAAGCTGGCCTCGAACTCCTGACCTCAAGTGATCCACCCACCTTGGCCTCCCAGAGTGCTGGGATTATAGGCATGAGCCACCGCGCCTGGCCGATGGAACAGATTTATGAACCTCTAACTACTATATCGCTGGCACGCGCCCATGTTTAAACACGACAAATGTTCAGCTGGGGTACGTTCCGCAGCTTAATTGTTGTTATATACCCTGATAAATAAGCTAAAAATGTGAGAAAACAAAATTAGTTTAGAAAAACTGATTTAGCCCTCGGCTTCATCGTTTAACTTTTTATGGTTACCATGACAACCAGGGGTCCATTTATTAAGTCACAGCGTCCCCTGTGTAATGCCATCGCACAGGCAGCGCAGGGGGGCCGCCAGCCATGGACTTACCTTAAAGTCATCCGGGAGCAGCAGCTTGGACGTCCGCAGGAAGCTCAGGACGTAGCGGAAAATCTCCCCATCCCGGTCAATGAAATAATGTTGCTTCAAACTGTCCAGGACGATGGGTTCAGTGCCATTGAAGAGGCGGCTTATTCTAGGAGAGACAGGTGAGGTGGGATGTCTGAAGGATGGGGCCAAGTCCACCTGTCTTCCCACGCCCTGCCCCCATTCCTTAGGGCCAACACAGCTGGAGGGGCGAGGGACCTGACGTAGGTGACTCTGGAAGTGTTCCAGGCCTGGCAACATCTGCACACACCCGGGGCAGCCAGGCTACAGTTGACAGGACACACCACACATCCTGCCTACACCTGCGAGTCACAGCCAGAGAGGGGCACACCCAGCTGTACACACCAGCCCGCCAACACATGTTATGTTACAGGCCTGGAAAGCTATGGCAAGACACAGGCACCTTATCCCCTACACACAAACCAGCTGGTCACAGGCCTGGTGCACACACCCTGCCAGACAGATCCATCCAGAAAATGCACATGAACCATCCAATACCCCTGCCAACAGCTACACACCCAGTAAACCAGCCAGGACATACATCCTCCCCACCCAACCCATGTAAACAAGTGTGAGACACAACAGGCCTGTGCAACAGGCACGGGGTCACACGGTCCCTTCCTTCCCAACACACACACATCACGCGGACCCAGACACATCCAGTAAAGGACACGCACCTGTCAATACCAGGTACCTAGAGACATGACGGCACAAATCCCCTACTGCCGCTCACTCAGGGAGCCCACAGGGAGAAAACAGAGGCAGACAGGAGGGATGGCAAGTGTGCCACGGTACACACAAGCAACAGGGCCCTTGCACACATGTCACAACACAGACATACACACACACCAGTATGTACACACACAGAAAAAATGCACATACATGCGCCACAGTGCATACATATGTGCACACATGCCGGAGTGTATGCATACCACACCTAGTGGTGGGGGATGGGGACTGGAGAGAAGGCAGGTGCCGGTACCCTGTCCTCTGAAGGGCAGTGGTTCTAACAAATGCAAGACCGGGAGAAGGGTCTTGGGGAGCCCCTGATGCCTGTCCCTGTCCACTCCAGGGAGAAGGAGCCAGGTCTCAGAGCCAGGACTGATACCACCTCCCCAGTGCCCAGAGCGGCCAGCTCTGGTTTGGAAACTGCCCTGGCAGAACCCAGGTCGAGCTATGGATAACTAGGAACCCTAAAGAGGGGTGGGGATAGCCAAGGGCTTGGCTTGGTGTTCGAACAGGAGGGAGGTTGGCATTGTTTCCCCAAAGGCAGCACCACCACATCCTTCAGCAGGCAGGGCCACACTCCTGCCCAGCTGGACCCTGCCAAGGTGGCAGCTTCTCTGCACAGCTGGGAGAACAGTAGCTCCAGCTTGGGACCCAGGCTTCTGAGCCTCGCCTGCACACAAGCTGGAGCCTAAACCCTTCACTCTCTGCCTGCACCAGCAGGGACCCCTGCAGGGATGCCCCCTGTCCCAACAGCAGCCCATTCCTCTGTCCACTCCAAGTCAGCTGCCTCCAGGGTCCTGCCCCACTGCCACCTGCACCCAGGACACACTAGCTGGGCAGGAGCTGAGGGGGTTAGAGCACCCAAGTCTGCCCTCAGGGCCTCCCATCCACACCATCCTATGCTCTGATGGCCTGGAACACTCAATGCATCAGCCATGATGGTCTGTCCAGGTATGGAGTCTCTGGGAACACAGTGCAGATTTCTGGCCTAACAGGGTAGTATAAAGGACACAGTTTAGCTGGGCACCGTGGCTCACACCTGTAATCCCAGCACTTTGGGAAGCTGAGGTGGAGGATTGCTTGAGGCCAGGGGTTCGAGACCAGCCTGGACAACACAGCAAGACCCCATCTCTACAAACAATTTAAAAGTTAGCTGGGTATGGTGGCATGCACTTGTAGCCCGCTTGGGAGGATGAGGTGGGAGGATCACTTGAGTCCAGGAGTTTGAGGTTGCAATGAGCCGGGATCACACCACGTACTCCAGCCTGACCAAGAAAGCCAAACACTGTTGTTTAAAAGAAAGAAAGAAAAGGGCAAGGCTGTCTCATGGATGGGCATGGGGATGTCAGAGTCTGCTGTGAGCCTGAGTCTGTGGAACCAGAGCTGCAGCCACCCAGATACAATTCATCTCAGAGCTGTAAAAGCCGAAGAGCCCTGTCAACCCCCTAGGCCTGGTGACAATGGCACTGCAGGTCACAGCCCCTGCTGGAAAGGCTTGTGGGTTCCACAGCTGGCTCCAGTTACAAAGGCCCTAGGACCTGGCCTAGCAGAGCGTGGGCATCCAGATGTCAGAGTGAGGGCCACCCGGCATTCCTGGAGACAGATGGGTCTGGCCCAGGCTGCCAGATACCATGGGCAGTGGTTGGCAAGTGGCTGAGGTCCACGTGTGGCACCAGTAGGAAGTAAGAGCTACATCCACAGGGGAGTCAGCAGATCCAAACCCTCGGCCTCTCTGGGAACTCTCCCCACCATTCCCAGTGGAGCGCCAAAGTCCACGTAAGCAGGCAGCATTCTAGGCCTGGCTGAGTTCCCGACCCTTCTGACGTCAGGTCTGGCTGAGGCTCTAGCTGGTCCTGTTGGTCTAGAAGACTCCTCATGCACCCACATTCCAGGGCTGGATAGGTTCTAGGCTGTCTCATTGGTCCAAGTTTAGAAGGTTCTCCATCTGCCTTATTTCAGGACAGGCTGATTCTAGATCTTTCCATGGTTCAGTGTCGACTCCTGGATCAACCGGCAGCCGTACAGCCTCTCCCAGGACAGAGGCCTTTCATGCCCTCGGCGTCCAAGGCTGCCAAGGACGTGAGCAGGTTGAGGAAAGGTGAGGATAATCACCATGGAGGAGCCCCCAGCCATTCTCAGCCCTGCAGGTGTGAGTTCCCAGCTCTGTCAGGGGCTCCACGTTCCCCGTGGAAAACGGCCCAGGTCACCCTCTGAGAGAGGCTGCAGGGTTTGAGGCGCCGGCTTCCGAAGTCCTCCACGGAATTAGGTGACCAGTTCATGCTGCAACAGCTGGGACCCTCAGGGACAGAAAAGATGCCTCCAATCACCCGCCCTGTGTGCACAAGGGGGAACATCAGGACGGCCTTCGTCTTCTTGTTTATTTCCTTTTTTTTTTTTTTTTTTTTAAGCTCTGGCTCCAATTTCCTGGCTGTTTCAGGCACGAGGCTTTAAGAGTTCTGAAGCTCTTGACCATCTCCATTTGATGCTTCCCACAGTCAGGATGGATGTCAGAGTGTGGCTGTGCTGGCGGCATCTAATGGGTGTCAAGCAGGCAGGACACCAGCAAGGGGGCCGGCCCAGGGAGTCCACTCCCAGCCCCGGCTGCACTCAGCTGTCTCAGGTGAGGACCAGTGACTGTTCCTAGGCAGACCAGACGAGGCACCCGGCACGAGGCTCTTCAGCACCCAGGCCACCCCGACCGCCGAGACCCAGAAGTCCAGGCAGAGTTCCCGGTGGGAACTGAGGGTGGAGGTCCCAGCTTTTACAGTACTGCCTAGGGCAGGTCATCACCACCATCCAGAAACACCCTGAGGACCTTAGCACTCTTAGTCCTCCATCTCCAGGTGTCTCATAGATCAGTGACACTAGGTGAGATTGATTTTTTTCCAGAATTGGTGGCAAACAGTGCTTGTATTATAATAATTCACTACAAGAAGGACAAGAGAGATCTGAGGGGCTCTTGCCAGCACAGCTGCTTGACCCACTTCTCAGGCCCCCCGGCCCCCTGGCTCCTGATTGTCCTACAGGTCACACCATTCCTGATCTCTAGTCCAAAGCTTCAGGCCTGCAGAGCGCCCCCATGGCAGCCAGAGGCCATCCAGGCAGAACAACAGGTTCACCTTGAGCCCCAGCCATGGGGAAGAACGAACATAGACTGCCACCCCTTGGGCACACCAGGAGGGTCCCAAGTGCCAGATCACAGGGCCACAGGGGCCCTAGCTCCCCATGAGAGCACACCCTACATCGCAGAGCAGAGCAATGGGTGAGCAGCACAGTGCGGCTGGGTGAGGGGAGATGGCCCCCTGCCCTCGGCTCTCAGGCAGCAGCCAAGAGCCCAGAATGAGAAGCCCCTCCCACCCGCCTCCCCCAGGGCCTGGGCTGTGATTACTCCAGACAGGAAACTCTGATTTCAGGAAACACTCTTCAGAGAGGGTTGTGGGCAAAGGTTTTATGAATTTCACAAATGTCGTCAACCGATTAAGGGATGATCTATCTCAAACAACTCGGAAATGCCGCAGAAGGCAAAATGGAAATTAAATAAGCAGAATCCATCTCCCATCCTAGACAGGGCTCTGTGAGTGAGCACACAGGCCGATACTGCTCACCTGGCCCCGTGGCTCTTGTCCCCACCCCACAAGCCCCAAGGCCACAGGACCCCAGGCTAAGTCTCTGTCCACCTGGGGTACTGGAACACCAGTCACCATCTGCACCCTAGACTCTCTGAATTTGGAACTAGACACTGCATCCATTTCCAGTTTTTCCTCCTCAAGGGACCATGCCAGCCCCTGCACAGACTCCCCTGCAGCCCCAACAGGCTCGGAAAGCCACCGCCACGTACTACCATCCTCCCTGCTCTGAGCCACCACACCAGTGACAATGCAGCCTGCCACGTATGCTCCCCAGAGACGATCCCTCAGTGTCTGGGGGATTAATTAACGTCTCCTGTTATTTTAAATGCGTAACACAGGGGTGATGCCCGCAGTCTTGGCCATCCCACGCTCAGCCTTCAGCAGCCCCGGGGGAGCGGTGACCGCCTCTCTGTGCCAGGAGCAAACATCCTCGGCTGAGCAAGCTGCTCAGAGACCCACCCCACCTCGGGTCAGTCCTGCTGCCGTGCCAACGGGGAAAGCAGGTCCCTCACCCAGGAGAGAAACGCCCTGCAGGGAAGAGCAGGAGAGCTGGCAGCACCCAGCACCCCGTACCTCTCGCAGGCCAAGGGCCTGGGCAGCCTGTAAGTTCAGCAGCATGGAGGGTACCTGTGAGCCCCCAACCAGAGTCCTGGCCTGAGATCCTTTATCCACTGCTGAGGTATGTGGTTCATTCCTAGTTAGTCACTGCAACACCAGCTCCAAGGAAAGCCTGCTGCTAGTCTCTAGGGCCCAGCAGTGGCCACCGAAAATGACAAAGATGACACACTGCTGCTTATCGCAGCTCCTCCTCCCCCCGCTTGTGGAATTTCCCAGGGGTGGAATAGGAAATAGGATTAAATACCCACCCCCATAACCCCAAGACTTACCTACTCAGTATCACTCACAAATGACCCTCTGCAGAGGCCAGGCCTAAGTCTTCCTCCAGAGGAACCTTGAAGGTACGTGAGACTACCCAGCCCGCTGCTGGCAGGCTCAGGCAGGGCTGGCTCTGAATAAGCCCTAGGCCCCTGCAGGTGGGTCAGGAGGTGCACCTTGCACTGCCAATGCTGCCAAGTCAGGGTCACAAGCCTCTGTGCACAGCAGCTTTCAACAGGCAGATTCGCACTCCCCAACCCCAGCTCCCTCAGGCTGTGTCAGCTTGTGCACCCTGGAGAGCCTGGTGGGGTGGAGTGACAGGGGGGAGAGACCCCATCCCCCAGGCAGCAGATTACAGCTGCTGCCCTGACCCACACATGCCTGATGTTTCAAGGGGCTTACTCTTACCTGGAGTCAGGGTACTTGGTGAGCGTGGCCAGGCTGCTGGTGTACATGTGGCCGCCCACATCGATGTGCACAGGTGCATTGGACTTGGTGAGCTGGGCTGGCAGGGGGATGCCCTGGGCCGCCAGGGGAGACACAGGCGACCGGGTGAGAGACAGCCGGGACATGTTTCCTCCCTCCTAGAGATGAAAATAAAGCGGAACACAAGAGTTTCTCCACAACATGGCCATGCACTCCCTTTATCGCGAGTGTGATCACAGATCTAATCAGATCACTTCTGCCGGTGCCTGATCACATATTCAGCTGACAAATTATGGCCACCACTGTAATTAAGTGTATTTGCATCATTTTCTTCAAAGTACCAGAGGGAAAAAGAAAGATGCTTATTAGCAATAAGAAACCAAGAAAAAAAATTTTTCAAGGTGTCAGCCTCCAGGGGCATAAAACAAACTGCAAAATTCTAATTAAAGGTCATGGGCTTATGTGTTAGATGTGAAATATCCCCTGACAAACGAATCACCAATTTGTGAATTGGGATTCAGGGGTTTTTTGCAAGTTTGTCTCAGTAACGAGACACCTCTAAATTAGTGACTTCCTCAGCACCTAAGGCGTTGAGTTTTATACATGTAGTAAATTTCACATCAAATTAAGAGCATTTTTGTTTCAAAAATACATAATCCTACAGCCAGTCAACAGCCATCTTGAGTGTCATGGCCCCAAGGAAGGGCAGCCAGTGAACAGGTGCTGGGGAAGAAGGGAAAGAGGGGACCCCTGGTGGGGACCCAGCCCACCCTGCAGGCTCACCGCGGTGCCGGTGCTGCCGTGTGTGTGAAGCGAGGACCCGCTCGGCCGCTCCTTGCGGTGAGGCATCTAGGCTTCCATCCCTGCCCAGAGTATCTGCGGGAGGCATCGACGAAACCAGAGAAGGCTTATTCCTCATAGTCATCTACCATGGAGTCAAAGACACTTAGAATCGTTCTTTCTGCATGCTCTCTGAGACCCTGCGAGGTCCATGCAGCCCTCCCTGATTGACTCCACCACCACTATCTCTCTATCTGTCTCCACACCCCGAAGCAGGCCTCCAGGCTGTAGCAGATGACACACATACACATGCACACACACACGGTCACACTCACACATGTGTTTTCTGGGCAGCTCCATGTCTGCTAATTCGGCTAATGACAGCACTGAAACATATGCTCACCATTATTGCCCCAAAATGTTTCAGAACAAATCAGATTTTCCTGGTATTTTTGTTTCAAGCCATGTTACCAAGCGTGTCTCCTCTTGCAAAAGCCTCGTGGACCAAGGCTCAGAAAGCACCCCTCACCCTCCATGGGCCGGGGAACCTAGGACCTCTCTTAGTACCATCCCCATGGTGATAAGATACAGCTTGCATCTGCCCCGACACAGGGAAGCCTTTATGCAGAAGTCCAGGCACACGGATAAGGGCAAGTCACCTGGGAAGCCACCTCTTCTCTGTGGCTCCCAATAGCAGAGAAAACCTGTCTTTGTTTGCCTAGTCTGCACCTCACAGTTTCTCCCCAGACTCCCAGAGTGGCGTTGTCTGTGCCTAATGCATTCCAGACCCCTTGCCATCACATACCCCTGAGGTATCAGGAGATGGCCAGGAGGAAGCAGAGAGCAAGCAGATCAACCAATGGACCCTTTCTACTGCTCCTCCCCAGAGGCACTCAGTGACTCTCCTCCGTGCTGTAGCCACCTGAAATAAGATTGTCCCTCAGTCCCCGGAAGCCACACCCAGGGGCGCTTTGCAGGCCCTATGCAGGAGGAACAGAATTCTGCAGCCCCGTTCACTGATTTACAGCTGTCTCAAAAGGGAGGAAGGAGGAGATTTGCACGTGAATAGTCACCCCCCTTCACACATCCACAGACACTGGCTTCCACAAACCTACCCTGGACGACTCTTGAAGGTTTAATCTTTAAGAGAGCAACCACATGACATTCTTGGGACCCATGGGATTGCTTTTGCCCATTAAAACTCTGGGATCAAAATCTGTGCCTTGAAATTCAACATCCAATTTTAATCCAATGAGAATCAAATCCTGCAAACGTAAGCAAGGTTGCTCTCCTGTGACTTAGTCTGCCCTGAGTGCCCGGGGAAGTTTCCTGACATAAAACTGGGGTGGGAGGTTGCAATGGGCAGACAGTGATGTGTAATGTATACCCTCACTGGGGCCTGTGGGCTCAGGGTCCACTGCTTTTGGCATTCCTGAGTTCCAGAAGCTTAAAAAAACAAAACCAGGTCACTTAGCTCAAGGAGTTCTGAGAACCAAAACAGACCTCAGGAATGGATTATCCTGCCCTAGGAGGCTCTGCTGGGGGAGGAGTCAGAAGGGAAGACGTGCTGAGGATAAACTGAACAGGAAGGAATTCTGGCCGAAATTCTATCAAAGCGGACTGCAAGATATTTTACCCAATACCAGGACACTATTCCAAAGTGACATGAACACCATGCCCCCATCACAGAAGCCGATCCACCGTTCTTAGCCCCTTTTACCTCCCAAGCACAACCTGATGTTTGTGGCAAACCAGAAACTTACCGTTGGAAGCCCCAGGCTTTACGCCTTGCCGTGAATCTCCAAGGCTTCCCCCAACAAGCGCATCTGTGCAGGACCACGACCCTCTTTCCGAGACCACTGCTTAAGTCAGAAGCACAAAAGTGGGTGCAGTGAGAGATACAAGTTCATTCCACCAGCACTAGCATCAAACCCACCACCCAGCCCCAGTGCGCCCTGGCCCGCCTGTTGCAGGGGCCTCAGAGATAGTGGTCGGGAGGGCCCACAGGTTTCCAAACTGGCCCGGTAGTGACCCGCTTCTCCAGCTGCGGCGGGAGACCCGGGTCCCCGCCCGCCCGCCGCCGAGCCCCGCCCGCCCGAGCAGAGAGAAGTGAGCAGAATGCCACGCTCATTTACACACAAAATGATTTTGTGTCCCATTGCGCTCGCAGTTGTTCGGCTCTCTGGGGGTGATTAAACTGGCTGAGCTGCGGCAGCTTGAGACGATTTCACTAAATCGCTTCTTCGTGAAGTCGCTTTTTTGCTAAGCTGTTATTTTAACCATGAAAGGTAAACAGAAGGCGCCTCTCGAGCTCCCTTCGGCTCCGCACTCAGGGCGCTGGCCCGGGGCGAAAGTCCCGGGGGCCTGCACAGTTGTCCCAGGGGTGGCCCCCGAGAGGCAGGCGGGCCACCTGGTGCGCGCCAGCTCCCCCCCCTCCCTCGCCCCGCCGCGGAGCCAGCCGGCCGGTGTGAACTTAGGGGCGACGGGAGACGGCTGGGCCAGAGCTGGAGGCGCCGCGGGGCGGGGTGGCCGCGGCACCCGAAGCGCCGGGCTGGGCTGGGAGGGGTTGCGGTGGAGGCGGGGCGGGGACAAAGTTAAATCAAGAGGCAGACACTTGGAGACCACAGATGGGAAGCTCGCCTAATTAAGGACGTAAAAGCGCTTTTGTTCTCAAAGTTTATTGTTGCCGGGATTAAAAAAAATTAATTGAAACTAATGCTGTTATTCACTCGTGCAGTTAAATTCCTTCATGCACATTTGAGATACGGAGCGAAAACTTGAAGCTTATCTTTCTGCAGTCGGGGGTGGGGGCCGCCAGAAGACAGAAAGGCGCTGCAGCGGCGGGGGTCCGCCCCCGGGTGTGTTTGCGAGTGTGCCCGGTGCGCGCGTCCAGGTCAGGGGGTGCGGGCGGGCAGCGGGGAACAGGATCTGCAGGCGGCGATCCCGTCTCATCGCGGCCCTCTCCCAGCCCCAAACCCTGCGCGCCCGGGACCACCACCAGCGCGACAGCCCCTCCTGCCAGGTTTCAGACTCTTGGGGTGGGCGTCAGAGGACGCACATCTGTCCCGCTGGAGACTTTCTCTGATTTTGGGCGCCAAGCCGGGCCTTGTCCACCTCGAAGCCCCAATTGCGTGAGCCCGTTTCTGACCCCGGAAACTCGCCAGCTCTGCAGGGCGCTCGGCCCAGAACAGGGGCCAGAGTGCGGGGACCTGCACGCGCGCGCGCGCGCGCATACACACACACACACACACACACACACACACACCGCGCGGCAGGAAGCTCCGAGCCCGCCCGCGTGGGGAGGGTCCACCCGCGGCCAGGACCAGCCCACGTGGGCAGCCCCACTCTCGCACCAGGCCTTTGTGCTGGGCGCCCCCGCGCCGCCAGCCCCCGCCGCCCAGCAGAGGGACAAAGCGGCCGCCCCCGCCCAGGTCCGGCCCCTGGCCGGGCGACTTTCTCAGTATCGCAGCCACTTCGGGGACAGGGGTGCGCGGCGCTGAGCGGTGGCCGCCCGCGCTAGGCTTACCTCGGAGCCGGAGCGGCAGATCGGGCTCGGGCGCAGCCCCCGCCCCCCGCAGCCGCCGGTCTCGGGCGCCGGGCGCAGCTTCGCCGCCTATGCTCGCTGCGCGGGTCGCTCCGGTCTCGTCCTGGAGTTACTTTCTCTCTCGCCCCCAACCCTCCCCCCACCCACCCCTCCCGCCCCGGCCCCCGCTTCGCGCGGCCCCTCGCGGCGCGGCGCGCCGGGGCCTCCCCTCCCCACCCTCCCCTCGCCTCCTCCCCTCCTCGCGGCCGCCGCCGCCGCCGCCTCCTCTTCGCGCCGCTCTCCGGCTGCCCTCCCGCCGCTCCCACCTCCTCTCCTCCCTCCTCTCTCTCCGGCGGCCTCCTTCGATTGCTGGAGAGAAAACCAGCCCCCCACTCCAGCCCGTAGCCCGCGCCTCGCCGCGGCCCAGCCCGGACGCAAAGGGCAGCGATCCGGCCCCAAATTACCCAGCGCGAGCGGGCGCGCGCGGCGACTCCTGGCTCGGGGCTCGGCTGCGCCGCGGGGCAGAGGATTAGAGTCGCAATTAGCTCCGCGCGCCCGCGCCTGCCGCGCTCGGCGACAAAAACGCGTCGTTTCCCCTCCTTTCGCCGGGCGATCCCCACCCTCCTCTCCCGGAGCCCGCGCCTTCCCGCCGGGGCCGCGGCCAGGACCCTCCAGGGAGCGGTGCGCCCAGGCCCCAGCGCCCTCCGCGGCCCAGCCCCCCGCCCCCCGCCGGCCGGCCACGCGGCGCCCGGGCCTCCTCCGGGCTCGAGGAGGGGGCGGGGGAGAGGCTGATTTTAATCATTGTCATTTCATCTGATGTAATATTTCCCCGGGCGCTTTCAGCTGGGCATAAATTTTCGGCTCCCAAATAAGTAACACAGGGCACGTTTCTCACATTTCTTGACTCCTCGGTTACAAAGGGGAGAGCAGCCGCCGCCGCGGCGCCCGGGGCTGGGGGCGGGACTTGGGAAGAAACTGGGCTGCGAGTCGGCCCGGGCTGGAGCGGAGCCGGGGGCCAGGCAGCCCCTCCCCCGCTCCCCGGCCGCCCTCCCAGGGTCCCTGCCCCTCTGCCCCTCTCCGGTGACGTCTGCGGACACGCGGTCGGCCACCGCGGGGGAGGGACGCGCGGGGGCACCGGGCCGACCGCTCGCGGCAAGACGCGCCATTTCCTTTACGCGCGCGGCGCGATGGAGACGGCGGCGGCCAAGACTCCCAGCGGCCGAGGTCCGCGCCCCGGGCGCCCCTCCCAGGTCTCCACTTCGGCCGCCCCTTCCTCCTCTTCTCCGACTCCCACTCCTCCTCCCCTTCCTCTTTCTCCGGTTTCCCTTGCGCCCCGCCCGTGCCTCCTCCTCCTCCTCCGCGATCATTTCCCCGCTCCTAGGAAACGGAGCGCGCGCCCGGCCGGCGCTGCGCCCCCGCCTGGCTCCCGGGACTCCCGGGCCGGAGACCGGCTGAGGCCGCGGGGCGGGTGCGCTCGGGCCGGAACGGCGCCTGGGCCCCGACCCCGAGCTCCGGCCGGTCCTGGGCGCCCCCTAGCGGCCGCACTCCCGGGGTGGGGGTGCGCTCGGGGTCGGCCTGGAGTTGGGGTGAGGGGAACTCGGGGTGCCAGTGGGAGGAAGGTGAAGTGGGTGGGGGGCCTTTCTCCCTCGACTAGAGGACCTCGTGCGCGTGGAGAGAGCGTCCGGACCGCACTTCCGTAACTTCTCCACACGGGAATCAGCCGAAACTTTCCTCCTAAGGGAAGGTTTTATTTATTTATTTATCTTCGAACTCGAACTACAGGAGAAAGGGGGAAATTTTCTCATTAAAGTTACATCCCTGCAGTTAGTTCAATTACTTGATATATGCAGAAGATGTTGTAAATTTATAGATTTAAATAGCTTACAAAGATGCCGCAGGCCCCATCAGTTAATTTCCTTAATTTATGGATTTTGAGCTGCTCCTGTAACAGAAAGAGGCCCTGGAAGTAGGTCAGGGATCTGTGCAGGGGTTGGGAGGGGCTCCCGCGAGGCCCAAGGGCTACCCACTCTGCTCCCCACGCCCTGGTACCCCCGGGCTTCCAGCTCCCAGCTTCGGCTCAGCAGCGCTCTCTCTGCGCGCTCGGCACCCTGGCCAGGCCCGGCCCGAGAGGTCGGCCCAGCTCTGTGGCCGACTGTCCCAAGCACGACATAGGAACAGCAAAGCCCTCCATCAACGCACATCCCACTCAGCATTGAGGGACCAGACCCAAATAGAAAATGAAGCAAGTATTCAAATACTTTGATCTCCTGAGATCACCCTTAAATGCTGGCTAGAATCACCGTCGGAGGAGGTTGTGTGTGTGGGTACCCCCAGCTTCATGGACAGAAAAGTCCTTCCCAGCACCAGGCCTTTGAGGAGGATGGAATGAGGGAAAATGGAGCAGGCTTCTGTTGGATGATCAGGGACTCACTGAAAATCCGCTTGTCAAGGCCCCTGTGGCCCCCAGCGCCCCTCACACCTCTTTTGTCCCTCATCCTAGGTGGCTTGCGGGAACGCCTTTGTTTTGTGTTCAATATGGGTGAATATATACATATAAATTAATACTTGAAAGATGGGTATAAGCAAAACTGTTTTAGGAAGCCACATGGCAATGTGATTAGTATTGGTATTCATGATTTAGCATTTCTTTTCCCACTAGATGAAGTTTCTAAGATTTGCAAGGTACATGTCAAGGACGGGTGTATAAATGGATTTTTATTTATTCACAACTCCAAGACTAATTGCTTCTCTTTGCCTCAAGGCCATGAGATTGGTTTTAATATGACACTTCAAAAGTATTCGTGGAACTACAGAGATACTAAGTGTCATTGTTTAAGAGACAAATCTCACCATGGTACTGATGACCCTGAAAATAGGATATTCTACTTTATTTTAAATTCCTACTTTTTTTTTTTAAGTTTCACTTTATACCAACTATAATAAAAATGTACAATTTAGTGGAAACAAGAACTGACCATTTTGGACGACTTTTATTTCCTTAATATGGCTGGGGACTTTGTTTCTGTATTCCTGAATCCTTTTATTTAAGAGCTGAACTTTATACGTGTCATTAAGAACAGTAAGTTTGGGTCATAATTTATTCTCAAGTGTTTTAAAAGTTCCTAGCTAAATGTCAGCCATCTCTTCCACTGGGAGACTTGGATATGGACAGTGACAGGTATTTAATGATCTGTGGTATATAATGCAATGGTGATGCATTTTTTAATTGAAAGATGTAGAATTTGGACTGAGAACATATTGAAATATCTCATGGAGTACATCCTGTTTCATTACCGTGGTTCAAGAGATGATATCGGACGTGAGTCCAATCAGAACTTGCTCTATCATTAAGAGTTGACTGGCACTGTTGCAGCCTGTGGGGGAGCCAGCCGCCCCCTAAATTGTTCAAAACTGCATTTGAGCCTTTTCCATCAAATTCTCAAATGCTATATGGATTTGGATGCAAGTAACAAAGGCTGCAACAGAAGAGCTTCATGATAGAACACCTGATTCACAGAATGCGCCCAGAGGTGAATCAGTGGATTGTGATACTATTCAAGGACCAGGACTCCCCAACTTTCCTCTGCCATCCTCAGCACGTTGGCCTGTTCTCATGCCGGCGCTTCTGTGGTCTCAAGATAAACAGAGCTCAATGCTTCACACCTGCCTGGACGCCTACTGAGAACAAGGGAATTCTCCTAGTGGCTCCCACAGGCCTCCTTGTCACGTCCTATTGGCTAAAACTGGGTCACATGCCAAGTTGCAAGCCAATGGGACTGCTGACCTGAACCCTGGGAAGGAAGTGGGTACTGGGCAAAGTCAGACTTTCCCTGGGGGCGGGGGTCGGGGGTGGGGAGGAGAGGATGGATTCTGTGTTAAGGGCTGGACCCCTGAATGTTTAAGCACGGGACCCTGAGCTGGCCTGACACTGGGGAGAGTTCAAGAGCATTCCGAGGGACCCGTAGCCCTTCAGTGCAACAGCGCTGAAACGATTGTTGAGGCCGGGCGCGGTGGCTCACGCCTGTAATCCCAGCACTTTGGGAGGCCGAGGCGGGCGGATCATGAGGTCGGGAGATCCAGACCATCCTGGCTAACACGGTGAAACCCGGTCTCTACTAAAACTACAAAAAATTAGCCGGGCGTGGGCGGGCGCCTGTAGTCCCAGCTACTCGTGAGGCTGAGGTAGGAGAATGGCGTGAACCCGGGAGGCGGAGCTTACAGTGAGCCGAGATCGCGCCACTGCACTGCAGCCTGGGCGACTGAGCCAGACTCTGTCTCAAAAAAAAAAAAAAAAAATTGTTGGAACATATTAGGCTGCTGCAGTCAAGGGATGCCAGGGAGGCCCTCTCCAGGGAGGTGGGGGGAGTCCTCCACTTTTCTCAATCAATATAAGCCCAGACTGGATCCTTGGGAGAATGGCTTTCCATAGAGTCCTTCCCCAATTGACTGTGTGTGGCTGCCACTCTGGCTCCAAGTGACCACCTGAGGCTCTGCAGATACATTTGCAAGGGTCCAAGGGAGTTTTTCCCGTGAAAAAATTCACGGGGAGAGTGGCCTTTGTTCAGTCAGAAACCCAGGGCTCTCCTTCCTTGGACCCAAGCCCAGTACGTGGAGCCCCTTCCATGTGACAGGCAATTCCTTCTCCTTGGGCCTGCCCTGTAGTACGCAGTCTGTGCAGGGCATGAAATTGACAATGTGAGTGCAGCTGGGTGACCTTGGGCTTTGCCTCTCCAGTCTCAGTGTCGTCCTGTGTAGTGTGGGAACAGAGATAGGACCTAATGGGTGGGGTTGCTGGAAGAATTAAATGGGAGAACACAGCAAAGCAAAGCACTCAGCCCAGCCAGAGCGAGCGCTCTGTAGGTCGGAGCTGTTGTTTAGAGCTGATGGCTCGTTTCCTCTTCCAACATAGATCCCATCAAGCCATGGTTTCAGCTCCACCCCTACTCAGGTACTGTTGCCCAGAGCCCACCCACAAGAGGTGCACAGGAGCACGGGAAGGTGAGTACAGCAGAGTCCCCTTTCACCTTTTTTGTTTTTTAAGAGGACGGGGCTGACTCCCTTGCCCAGGCTGGAGTGCAGCAGCATGATGATAGCTCCCTGTAGCCTCAAACTCCTGGGCTCAAGCAATCCTCCCACTTCAGCCGCCT